GAGAGAGAGAGAACTATTTTCATTTAATACTAATATTTAAATAACAAAATTTATCTTTTTTAAATTTTTAAAATATTAAAAAATTTTTAATATTTTAAATTTAAATTTCAAATATTTTATATTTAACTTTTATTTTTTTAAGGAAAATATAAAAAATGCAATATTATATAATATATAATATAAAACATTCAATATCTTTATTTTATCCTACCTTAAAAAAGGCATGTTATTGACTTTTGAAGGCTTTTTTCCATTATTTAAAAATATTTTGCATTGAAATAGCAATATGATGATATATATATCACAACACACTATAAATACTTTATACACATAAATTCAACGTTTATAATAAATAATTTTACTCGCCTAGTCAGTATTTCACTAAACCGCACCACTATTCGTAAAATTAAAATCGAAGAAGAACATTAAAGTATTGAAGCGAATTGACACATGGAACATGTTTAGCCATGTATACACAGGTTTCTTTTCGATTACTCATCCACCCTCACATAGTAACTGTTATCATAGTCATAAAGGTAGAAACGGAACGGACATGCGCTGTCTCGATGTCGACATATTGTAGTCGTAACAACACAGTTGTGATGGTAACACTCATAGTGCCGCAGTTGTATCGTGGTTTTATGTGGTTTTATGTGCGCGTTAGCCGATTATTAAATCATCCTGCGATTAATCGTATTCCGTTATTTTTGGAATTAATTATTTCACGATTAACCATGTGATCATCCGTCAAATATTTAATTGGATTCATACGAACATACGAATCGTAATAGTGTACAAAGTGCGGCGAAAAACGTAAGATATGTGGAGGTACAGAGTGATTCTTGTTAACAAATAAGTTAAACTTTTGTAACTAATTTTTTTGTATGAGGTTTTGTTTTTAAGAAAAATAATTTTGAAAGCCCGTTGAGTACATATGTACTTGTTTCGCACGGATCAGTAAACTGCTACTTTTTCTACTACTTTTTTTTTGTATTTGTATTTATAAACACTGGTTGTGCTCTTGCTTACTATTTTTCATCAATTTGTTAGAAAACATTAATTTTTTCATATATTAATGACGGTATTTTACTACATTTTATATATACAAAAGTTATCACAATATCGAAAAGTTCGGGATTTATTAATTTAAAATATATGATTATTATGATTATTAATATGATATGATTTATATTATATTAATGTGATTATTGAATCGATCGTGGTGGAATAATACCTTCCACCTTGGTGGAAAAATGCCTTGGCCTCTAAGATCCTATATCAATCGATTGTTATTTACGCAGTACATCTAAAGCTCTAGTTTGTGCTACAAATAAGTAGCAGTTCAATAAAAAAACACAAGGATGCGAAATATGCAAGCTATTTTTTGTAGAACTGTAATTAAAGTCTTCACTAATTAAAACTTAAAAATATTCAAGCATTCGAGTAGCTAAAAGCTTAACCTACATTGGCAAGAATTTGAGAGTGGTTGCGTAGAAGAGCACAATTATACTTTAAACAACAACAATGCTACAAATCTGTGGATTTCACGAACGAAATTGACACGACCATCTTTAAATACTTGAAAAGAAATTAGAAATGTTGGTGATTTATAATTTAAACGCACATAAAAATTTTCAATGTAAGAGGATTTGTGTGAGAATCTCTCTTCCCCTTCAGGACGAATATGATACAGAACAACATCCAAGCAGGAAGTTGATTGAGAAACTGATAAGAAATGCAAATCCGATCACAACAGTTGGGTGGTCGCGGAGTTTCCATGGACAAAACATCATGGGCGGCTCAGGATTACGACTCCACGTTCATTAATTTGGACACTATGGTACAAATTTTAAAACTTTGAAAACAAATTAAATATGTTGTAAGATATTGAGGTTTAAAAAAAAACAGATTATAATTTTACTAATGTTAAAGTGAAATCATGTTTTGTTTAATGGACACTAGAAAAAAAAACAAATAGATAACTGTGTCATCAAGTATTTGATAAGACACGTCACACGTTATCAATGATATTCTCGAACGGAAAAGGGGTGAAACACAAATTGACGCAAACGGGAAACAGGAATATTGCTTCTTCTATATATGATTATGTACATCAGAGATGTCAACTTGTCGAATTTCGAATAGTTCAAATCAAATCAATGTGCCGCGATGCAATTTAATCCGATATCTAATCCGCAAATCTTTCATTTGCATGTGTTTCTATCGCACTATTAAAACGTTGTGCAAATGGAAACGCAATTTGCATGCAAAGTAATTATAATCAACATTCCGTTATTATTATCAATTATCTGAATTATTCTTGCTGAAACTCGAATTTGCGTTTGTAAGCGTATTATATAAAGGCGAAGTGCCGAACATGGTGGATTCATTAGGAACGAATCAATTAGTGGCGCACCTGATTACCGATGCAATCATCGAAGGAATATGCAATTAGGAACTACTGCATGATTATTAAACCGCAGTTGATCTTTGCTTCATTATTCCCAAAACGGTTGTACAAAGTTTTCAACTTTGCAAAATGTATTACAATAGAAATAACTAATATTAATAAACTTGCAATCAGTGCAAGTTTAAAAGTGCAACAAAATTATTGAATTTAAACGTTCCACTGTCAAACTTTTTGCAACAAAACTTGGTTCATTTAATTATTTTTTCCTAGAGATAACTGTATTAATACAATATTTTAGTATTAAAAATAATTATATAATGCTAACTTTAGATTTCATGATAATTAGCAGCGTGTCTCTACTTTTCATCAATTTTTTTCTATATATATTATTAAATTTGCACATCATACAATGAAGAATGTTTTTTTCAAACAACTGAATTAAGCTATTGAAAGTAATATTGACATTTCGGGCGCATAGACCTGAAATATTGAGCGACGCTGGTTGAAAAGACGAACGATCCGCTTTAGCATAATAACGAGTTTACTAACCCCCTTGCATGTAGGTTAGAAGGGAATCGATGAGGTAACGCTGCGTGCATATGCACCATCGTGCTATAAACCTACAGTAGAGACTCGCGCAATACCGTATACTCGTATGCGAGCCGACGTTCTGACCGCACGACGTCGGTCCGCATATTTGCGCAACAACATGCTGAAACTCAAAGCGAATTATCCGTCGACGCAGGCCCGCTTCCAGCAGAAGCAGCTGCAGGAGAAAGAGCAGAAGTTGCTGCAGCTGTACGACCAGCAGCAGCAGAGAGCCTACCAAGTGGTGCAACGGGGTAGTGCGGGTTCCAACAGCTCCAATCACAGCTCCACCACGATTAAAACCTCGACGACAACGACCTCGACCTCGCAACGTGGTAAGGTAAGTGGGGTTTTACATAAGCGAAAAATAATGTCTCTCTTAAGGAAAGAGAGAGAGAGAGAGAGAGAAACAGAGAGAGAGAATGTAGTTATATCACTTTGCATGTTGAAGATAAAATCATAATTTGTCGCGTCGGTTTATCGCGCACTAATTCTTTTCAGACTTAATTTTAAGAGAAGAGTAAATATATGGACTCTATTTTTTTCTGTAGAAACACGCAGTAATGAGTTTTAAACTGTCTAGTGAAATTAGATGTTTGATTGCAATTTTAAATATATGAAATTTCAATATATATATATAAATATTAATTATCGAAAGGTGAGACAAATGTTCGACGAGAGGCGGCAGACCACCGTGAAAGGAATCGACAGGAGTTATCCGCTTGAACCACTCGAAAACAAGCTGCGAAAGCAAACGAATACGAACAACGTAGCGACACAAAGGAACGGTAATCTGACAGTGAATCGACAATCCGTCAGTGTGAAACGCGTCGCGCGCGCAGACGTCAACAGCAATGTTAATAACGGCAAGCCTGTCGTCTCTTACCAAGAAGAGATCACTCGCGAGTCATTCGAGCCGCCCACGCATCGTTACAATGACGAAGACGAATTCGGTCTTGAAAATCGTGTTACCACTTTCGCTAACGGATATTATCGTCCCGATGCTGATAATGAGGTTGGTTGCGCGCAAAGTATCAATTTTATATTCAACTCTTAATCTAACGTTATCTCTTATAATACAGAATTTATTTTTATATGCGCTTCTCGTGTAATCTCTCTTCTTAATCATCACTTTCATTACTCTCGTTATGAAGCTGCTGGAAGCTCCGAGAAAATAAATATAATATTTTTATTTAATATAGCAGTTATCTCAAACAAACGAGTTTCATGAATATGTTTCTTTTTTATTTATGATTGTGCTTCTGACCACGCAGGAAGAGATAGCGTTAGATCAGGAGACGATAGAGAGAAATCGTATGATGGCGAAAATTCATCTAATGGGATTTGATGAAACTTTAAAGCACCGCGTAAGGAACGATTTGGAAAGCGAAGAGTTTCCGGAATATCTAATGGTGGATATGTCCGATAAACTTCCGAAGAAAAATGCGACAAAGAAATTGACACAAGCAGAAGCGCGACTCGAACGATTCAAGAACGCGAACGCGAAGAGAAGCGACATGCTGAAACAATCGACTTCGAATAAGCGATCGAAACAAGCAGTTCCTATAACATCAAACAGGTAAGCTTTGTCTTCCAAGTTATTGTCTAAAATTAAAATTATATATAAATTAATTCTTAAAAAACAAAATATATCACAAAATATATATCACAAGTTTCAAACCCATTAAGTTTCATAAGAAAATAACTAACACAGGAAACTTTATTTATTATTTGTGTATCCAAAAATAATTTCAAATTTCAATCATCGACAATCGCTAACAATTCGCCAGAACTGCTTGCCAGAATTAATTTTACGCCGCATAGTTGCAATTGCTATCTTCGACTATTACAAATATATTGCACTAACAATGTGCATCGTACAGAATCGAGAGAGAGAGAAATACATCTAAGAAAAAATAATACCATGTGATTATATTTGTTCTAATATGTGTTTATCTAACACTGTTCTTCTTCATTATTGTACACCACAAATGTTAAAAAAAAAATAAATAAACGGTGTGAACGACTAATTTTTGCAAAGTAAAGAATATTGAGTAAATGAGCATTCAGAACAGCGTAATTAATTTAATTAATCTAGCACAGACAGCAAGTAAAATGTTTTTCTGCTCCAATCTGAAGACGTGTAAGATGTAAGCTTAATTATTTACATACGTGTTCATTTAACCGCAATTTACGCGAGGCAGATTTAACACTGGGCTGCGAGAAAAATAACGAGCGCAACGTCGAATTGCTAATTAGCTTGGGCACTGAACCGAAATAAGGTCGAACCGCCTGTAAGAAAAAGCACGCATTTTTTAATGATTTCGCTAGAAAATCGTTCTATATTTGCTTCCTCGACTGTGCGTTCTCAGACGGAGCGAGATCACTGGAACTTCTTCAACGAGCGCAAAAAGCGGAAGTAGCCGATCTTCAGAGCGCAATCGAGCAATTCTCGAAAACCTTCTGCTAGTTGCCAAAACTCGTGCAACTAATGAAATGAATAAGGGACAAAGGAAAAGTTTGGATATCGAGACGTTCAACCAACGCGACATTCTCCAAAATCTTTTTAGAAATGCTACAAAAACGCAAAGTAATTGGAAGATTTCTCCCAGGCGTAATGAATTTAAATCAGTGACGTCTGATGGACGAATATTTATAAGACGTAGTCCGAGTCCACGATTTTTTTGTAGAGAGACTGAAAGATCCGGTACAACCATGAGTATTGATCAAAAATCTGACTCGTCAGAATTATTATTTTATCGAGACACATTAACGAAACAAAACAGAAGTCCACACTTTTTCCTCAGTGAATCTGAACAATCTTATAGAACAAATAAATCTGAATCATCATATGATAGAGGAATTTCATCAACGCAAATAAGTCCACAATATCTTCGTCGTGAATCCAGACAATCTAAATCAACTTTGGGTACTGATCAAAATACTACTGAATCAGAATCAGACTGGAAGAGTGAAATATTAATAAAACGAAATACGAGTCCGCAATATTTCGATAAAAAAATTGAAACAAGTCTCGATCGAAAAACTAATTCATCTAAATTGGATGAAGAGGAAACGTTAAACAATCGAACCAACAAACCACAATTCTTTTGTGAAGAATCCGAGCGATCTGCAACAACCATTAGCTTGAGTAGAGAAAATAGCGAATCTAAACTATTTGAAACTATATCCGGCAAACGCATTATTAGCCCGCAATATATCTCTGAAAAATCCAAACAATCTACAACAATGATCAAACCAAGATCAAACTCAACAGATTCTACGAAAAACATATTAAAACAACGCAATTATGATTCAGATGATTTTTACAAACAATCCGTAAGATCTTCTCCATTAATTAATAAAAAAATTAGTTACATGCGAGATAGGTACACTCCGAGTCGTTTGAAACGCGAAGTAAGAAAAGATTTAAACAAAAACAACACTTCTCGGGGCGTTGCAGAAACTCGTAGATCACCGAACATATCCGACATCTCTGCAACATCAGCCAGCTCAATCGTAAACCTAAAATATGGCTTGGAATTTGACAACATTTTCCAATCAGCAAAGCCCGTTCGTAAATTTATAAAATCGCAGAATGGTAAAATCCGTCGATTGCCTCTAAAACGCAATATCAACATCATAAATATTCCAAGTGTAAGAGATAATCTATTGAAAAATCGATATAAAGCTTTATCGCCTTCCCGAGAAGCGACGAAATCGCCATCGATTGAGAATAGGAAAAAAACTACGTTCGAAGCCCCGCGGAAAAGTATTACTCCAACAGAAGTTGACATGGAAATTCAAGAAATCACTATGACCGATCATCGTATCGAATACGACAAGGTGCGAAAGACACCGACTCCGATATCAAAGCGACAAATTGATGAAATATACACGAAGTCACCCGGCAATAAAGTAAAATCCAAATTTTTTCTCACTTATCCTGTTAATAAAACGCGCAGGCAGCGAGCGTCAATTTTAGAATCAAATGCCTTTAAGTCAAAAGCAAGTACTTTCGAAAAAAATAAAAAATCCAAAGATCAGAAGGATCAGGAAAAAGAGGAAAGTGCCATCAGTTTAAGCAAACTTGATTGCAGTTCTAAAAGCGAAAGTCCTCAACATATCGTAACTTATGATCCAACTCGATTATATTCGTCGTCTGCGGAAAAAAACAAAAGTAAAATACCTGAAACACGAGAACAAAGATGGAACCAAACAATAAAAAATCAATCCAAGGAACGTAAAAATCGACAACATGAGGATACTCGATATCCAAAACAGATGCGGAATCAGTTTACGGAAAATAAAGCTCGCAGCTTGAAAGCAGGATCTTACGATTCTCTTAAGAAAAGAACAGATTCCGGTGATACAGTTTCACCGATTTTAAGCGACTCTAAAAACCGAATCGAAGAAACGCGCACAAAATTCCGTCAATCGCAACGCTTGCGATCCGCGCAGCTGATACAGGATGCTTTAAAAAACAAAAATCCCGTGATCGCAAATGACAAATATGATCGAGAAAAATCAAGAAACGAAAATAAAAATGTAGCTGCAGATGAGATCGATGCTGAGATAGATGTTAATTATCAAACAATAGTCGATAACGCTTCGAATAGAGAAATAAAGGATCATCGCAAAATTACTCGCCCAAATTCCAATGATGTGACCACAAATAAAGATGTCTCCTTTCGAGTTACAACACGAGAGCCGTCGACAAAATCGAATACTTCAAAGAAAATGAGTTTTCCGACAAAAGTATGTAGCAGACAGCGTTGTATAAAGTCCAGTATCGCACCGCGAAGCTCTTTAAGAAAAATTGCAGAAATTTCCCGTAGTGCTGATATCTCGAAAGTTTTATTATCTCGAAGAATTGTATCGAAAGCGAATCAAAGTTCCACGTCTAAATTTTTGACACATACTTTAGAACATCGCAAACGCAAGAATGTGCCCATTGCGACAAAGTTAACAGCATTATCTCCTAATAAAATTAATGTACAATATAAAATCGAAGATTCAGAAGATAGTGCAAGAAAAATGTCGAAATCGCTAACACGAGAAAAGAATAAATTCAAAAAAGATTTTGAAAGTATAAACTCCGTTGGATCGATATTGAAACGATTTGATAACAAAGGTACAGAATTCGAACAATTAATCCCGATACGCGTATCTCCAGAGATTTCTTTAAATATAACAAATATGCAAACAAAAACTTACAAACCAATCGCTTCAAAAGAATCCACGGTAGTCCATAAAGGAATAGATAATATGACTTTCAAATCGCCTCTAAAATTTCCAGTCAGTAAAGATCTGAAAGTTAAAAATGTCCCGCATAAAAGTAATATAAAAATTCTCGGAACAGAGATGCGTTCTTCTAAGAGATTAATGAAAACCGGAAATTTGACTGAAAATCAACAGAGATCAACTCGATCATCAGTATGCAAACGATTATTTGAATCTGATTCGGAAAAAGAGATCCAAAAAGAGCGGTCAAATTTGAATTATGTAAAAGCACACAATAACGGGTATTATGCCTGCTCAAATCTTAAATCTCGTAACAATGAAACAGTTTCAAAGGTAAGCTCTTTCAAAAATTTCGATCACAAGATTAACAAAAAATCAAAAAAATTTGAAGAAATATCAATATTTACCGTAAAACCACTACAATCCATCAAGGATATTCGCAAATCGATCGATAACGAACAAAGTAAATTTATTATTACAAAAAAGTCGAGGGCAGTAATTGCAAACCGGCGTTCAACTTCACCAGAGAGTGTCGATGTGAAGAGACTGATCCCCGCAACTGATGTAGTGAAAAACACATTTTTTCTCAAAAGCGATCCTGCAAGAATGACTAAAGTTACGTCCTATGTATCCAGGATCACGAAAAGCCCGAGTCCCGATTCAGCTGCGAGAAAGCAGCTCAAATCGAACACGAGAGGAAACGCTCCAGCGTCTCCCTCCAAGAGTTCTGATATTGCTCCTAAGGTAAATATAATTAAAATATATATACTACTTTTTACAAAAAATAGAGAACACTTTTCAGATTGCTCAAAATCGAGCAATTTTCAAATCACTAAAATTCGGCAAAAAATCATTGTACATAAAAGAATTTAAAAAATTTCAAAAATTGAAATTTGTACTTTTCCATGCTTTTAGTCGTTTTTAAACATTTTTTATTTTCACATTTCTGAGCTCAAAAAAAGAACACATTCTTTTCAACACTCTGTAACTTAATAAATAAATTATTTTTGCAAAATTTATGACAAGTGTCCAACATTACATTTTACCTACACAACGTGTTTTAATTTTGCTGCAAATTTTTTTGTCTGAATTACACGACTTTAACCAACTCTATATTTTGTGAAAAATAACGTTTACCATCGACAGTATCAGTATTAGCGCAAAACATGCAGGATTAGTTTTAAAATTGTATAACTCGGTCGAAACAAATCGTAACAAAATTTAAAAAAATGTGTTTCGTAGCTAAAATATTGTAGTTTTTGACGCTTGTTATAAGTTTTATGAAAAAAATGTTTTTATCAAGCTGCAGAGTGTTAAACGTACGTAGTTTTAAGAACAGAACAATATGTTTTTTTTTAGAACTTAAAAACAAAAGATATAAAATTTTCAAAAACAACCGTCTAAAGTACGTAAAAATACAAACTTCAAGTTTTTATTTTTATTGTATAATATTACACAACATACTATTACGCGTGAAAATGATAGATCAGAAATTTCCTATTATCAAGTTTGAGATCATAAAGTGTTTTTCAAAAAAATCTCCAGTAATTTCAAGTAATACTTCTGTAAATAATTATTGTGATGTTTGTTCCGTTAGCGCGCATCTGCAAACCCAAAGAATCAAGATGCGAAACCTTCGAGAAAATCAGCAAAAGATGCAGATTCGATTGGAAATAGGGCGACCACAGCTGAAGCGATTGATACAACTGATGGTGTTGTTCTCCAGAACAATACACGTGAATCCACACCAAAATCATCTGACATCTTTGTAAGCAACTTTTTTGATCAACCATTAACAGAAAGCAATACAATACCATCAATAAAAAAGCCTCTTACCGATGTAAGACTAATTTTTTTCTTTTTTTATTTAAAGTTATTTTTATCACGTGGGTCATACAAGATGTCAAATAAATGATGAAAACGCATTTTTAATTTTTATGTTATTTTATTACAAAAAAGCAGTTTGTTAATAATTAATAAAGTTTTGATTGGTTTTAAATATTTTACACGATGACAGAACTTTAAAATATTTCTTTTAAAACAATGCTATACTTTTTGCTTAATTATTCTTAATTTGATTGTCCTTTAATAAAAGATAATTAAATTAATTAAATTACTTAAAAATTAGCTACAAAATTTACCATAAAATATAAATTACTAGTTAATTTGATAAAAAGTAATCGAAAGAGTTGAAAGAGGATGGATTTAACATGGTTTTATTATGAACGTACAGTCCGTTTTGACATTATTATCGTTTTGAAGTCGAAATAAATTCGTATTTATTCGATAAAATCGTGACAGGTCGGCGGTGAAAAAAGACAGTGCAAGAGTAATATCCTCTGAAACACAACGTCAAAATAAAATGTCACTCTCTCGTGACGACAATCCGGACGACCAGTTAATCGCGCGTGGATTTTCCGCCCCATTCTCAAATTGAAATTTGTATTGTACATGCACAAAAAATCAATCAGCACTGAACACCAGCCAAGTATTTGATACAAAGCTAAATCATATAGCTACAGTCTTTCCATCACCGTGCAATTTATTTCACTACACAATTGCAATCAAAATTCATTTGAAGATATAATCTATCAAAAAAAAAGTAATTGAGAAAACTCGTGCATTAATTATAACGTTGCTTAAAAAAGGACTTAACGGAAGCAACTGATAAATTTAAATTATTTTATATAAAGTATTATTATATTCAATAATCTTAGTAACCTAAATTTTTATGTCACTATAACAGAAAATAAATTTTCCAAATATTAGAGAAAAATACGCAGCTTACGGATTAAAACCCCGTATTTTATCTAAAATAAAAATCGAAACATTTTTATTTGTATACAATTGGAACGTTATTTCAGTATTAAAATCTATCGTTCAAACATTTAAATCTTTTTATTCAAATTTGTGTTTATTTCATGTTTATAACAAATTCTCTAATTAAAAATATCTAGACTTTGTAGAAGTATATTTGTATGTTTATATTATTTGTATATGAAATTTATCTATTTATGTTCAGAAGCAGCAAACAGCTTCGAATGTATCAGATCGGCCAATCTCATCAGTCTCATCGAATTCTAGTGCTAACTCAACTCAAGGCCAAATTTCCAACACGAAAAATAAAATGACAACGAGAACTAAAACATCCGCGTAAGTTTTTCCAAGGATTGCTATATATTTTATTACAAAAAATTATCCACGCAACAAACAATCTGATTTCTTTTATAATCTAAGATCTTCTTTTATGATTGTAAGATTATACATTTTGCAGAATATTTTTATAGGAAAAAGGTTTCAATTTTTAATTTTTAATAAAGTAACAAAGTATTTGAGATATTAATTAACTAATTACAGAGATAATTTGGTAGCCTGTAACATATGTGAACGTCGCTTTGCACGAGATCGAATCAGCTATCATGAACAAATCTGCGTAAAAACAACAAATAAAAAGAGGAAAAAATTTGATACCACAATGTTTCGAGTGAAAGGAACTGAACTCGAACCTTTCGTCAAGAAAGGCCTGTCTAAAAAGCAAGAGGTCAGTAATATCATTACTTTTTCTGTTCACAATTTTTATCCCATTGCATCAATGTTTCAATCAGGTTTCTTAAAATCCGCATTTTGTTGAGATTTTCTATTTTACTTGTTACAGCACTTGTTTTATTGTTAGCATAAATGTAAAAATAATGCATTGATTCTTTAAAATCATTTTAAATTGATCAATAGATTGTGCTCTCTTTATTAAAAAGTGTCTTTGAAGATTATTGATCTAATTTTAAATTCATAAATTTTTATTAGATTCGTTAATATTACTAAATGTTTACTTGTATAAAACAAATATCAAAGTAATTTGTCAATCTAATTTGCTTTGAAAGCTGATGTTCTCGAATTTAACAAGGAAACTAAACATAACAAAAGATAAAAGCATTTATATTTTCACGCTATTTCAGACAACGAAGAAGCCAGAGGTGAAATCGAATTGGCGGCGCAAACACGAGGATTTCATCAACACGATCCGTTCTGCCAAGGAATATCAAGCAGCGGTAGCGAAAGGAATAAATCCCGCCGACTTGCCGCCACCTCCACCCAGTGATACCAGCGATTACATTCAGTGTCCACATTGTGGTAGAAAGTTCAATGAGGCCGCAGCAGAACGGCATATTTCCAAATGCGAAAACATGCTTCATAATAAACCGATGCATATGCGAGCGAAATTGAGACGTTAAAAAAATGATGGCAATTGATCTAATTTTTCCAATCCGAAATCAATTTTGTATTTTCTAATAAATAGGTATACACACTTTTCTCCTCCAGAATTTACATCCGTAACGTATCATCGAGACTTGCTGTAGAAATTTTCGCTTGATACATGTTCAAACATGTTTTAAGATAGATTGAAAATAAAGTTATTATTTCTCAATTTATTTTCTAAAATCTACATTTAAAAAAAATAAATGTTATGCGCTTCTAAGCTTATAATACTATTTCTGTAACTTTTTAATATGCGTATAATCTTCATATTTTAAAGTATAAAACAGTTTAGAAATAATTACTTGAATGAAAGTACAGTTGCTACGGACATTGATATAAACTAGTACTTTGAAATTTCAGGTAGCCAAAAATTTGCATAGCTTAGATTTCAAGATTAAATGTCAATTAATTCAGAGCTTTCGAGCTGTGAAGATGTGTTTGAACAGTTCAAAAATTCGAAAATTGACATCTGCGTGAAGTTGGATATTCACAAGCAATTGTTTATAAGTAATACGTACTATTTTTGCACTGATTGTCTTTGATTTTTGAACTATTCAAATCTTTAAAATTATTACAAATTGATATTTTAAATCGATTATTGCTTACACTCAAATCATCCGAACTCAAAGCTCATTTTTTTGCAAATTATTTGAATTGTTTAAATATACAATATGCTCGAACCTTTGTCTGAGTTCCAATATAAATTTTATAAACTGAAGACTTATACAATGATAAAAACCGTATTAGTCATAACAAAAAATATGCATATTGAATAGTGGCATGCTTAGTCTACTTGATAAATTTGAGATTACAAAATCTGACTAATAGTAGACTAATGAATAATTATAAATATATTATTAAAATCTAATAAACGCGCGTGCCGCTAATATTATTTTTTATTTATACAATTACTATAATTCGACAAAAGCTGTTGTAATAAAAATTGTTTTTAATATATTAAATTTTTTACTTATATGTAAATTAATTTTTATAACCGCAAAAACTATATACAAAACAAAAATAAAAAAAGAAAAGATATAAGAAAAAAAGCATACAATCTTTTTCCTTTGATGACGATATTACACACATAATATTAGATACTATAATATACGTTATATGTACATTATTGTATAAACATTATTTTTGCAAAATTTTATATAAAATTATTGACATAAAATATAGCATAAAATTTAATTTTTTGCACATTAGAATCAGATTTGAGAAATAAGGAACAATTAAAATTAATTCGATAATATATCGCAATTCGATTCTCTCTCAATTCGAGCTCTCGAAATGCGATTCTCTCGAAATGCGAGAATTCTCGAAATAGCCATTGTGAATGATGAACCAATCAGAACACTCCACGAAAGACTGTGTATCGGCTAGATGCCGTCAACCTATCTTGCCAAAAACGTCGAAACTTTTATGTGAGAAGATCAAACATATTTGTGTGTTTCGCTAACGACGAGAAGTGGATGACTGTTCATACGAATCGTTTGTGAAATCTATGAAAAGATGTTGCGGCTCTTAGGTGAATTATGAATGAGCGTTTTGTTCATTTGCCGGCTTTGTACCGGCCATTTTTTAATAATTTTTAATACGTTGCGATCAAAGATGTGATCATTTTTTCGTTATTGCCCACCTTCTGTAATTGTTAATATAATAAGGATCTTTTTTTTTTTATTAAATCTTATCGTTAAAATGTTGTGATTCCGACACACTTGTAGCTTTCATGCACATTTTAAAGTGCTTATATGTAAATTTTGATATACTTCTGATATAAATTTGAATTTTTTTCTTCGTTACAGGTTTTCTTCTATTGATCGCTGGAGCAAATTGCTTGTATGCGTCTAATTCAGCTGTAATTGATCTTAGACCAAATAATTTTGATAATCTAGTGTTAAATAGCGATCATATTTGGATAGTTGAATTCTATGCGCCATGGTGTGGACATTGCCAACAGTTAACACCTGAATATGACAAAGCTGCTACTGCATTAAAGGTAACACATTCTAGTACTGAGTTTTCTAAATTTATATATTGACTTGTTTACTACGTCTCAACAGGGTGTTGTAAAAGTTGGCGCAGTAAATGCTGATGAGCACAAATCACTCGGAAGTAAATATGGCATTAGTGGTTTTCCAACAATCAAGATTTTTGGACTTGATAGCAAACCAGAAGATTTCAATGGTCCAAGAACTGCAGCAGGCATCGTTGATGCTGCATTAAATGCCGCTAGTCAAAAAGTTCGAAGAACCTTAGGTGGCAGAAAGACAGGAAGTGATTCAAAGGTAAATTGTAACTTACGACTAGCTTTAGAAACTTGTTAACAAAAAATATTTAAGATAATCACAGTATTTGTCCTTTTTAATAAATAAAATAGTTTGACAGTATACAAATTATTAAACAGTATTGTCCTGTATATTTGTTTACAGAGTAAAGATTCTAAAGATGTAATAGAATTGACAGATGAAAACTTTGAAAAATTGGTTTTAAATTCTGAAGATATGTGGCTGATTGAATTTTATGCCCCTTGGTGTGGCCATTGTAAAAATCTAGCTCCTGAATGGGCAACAGCAGCTACTGAACTGAAGGGCAAAGTAAAGCTGGGAGCTTTGGATGCCACAGTAAACACATTGAAGGTGAGATACACACATTTTACTAATATTTACTTCCAAAAAATACAACCGTTTTTTTTTTAATTATTAAAAATTATTCTAACATATTAATGTTACAGGCCAGTAAATATGAGATCAAAGGCTATCCTACCATTAAATATTTTGCACCAGGCAAAAAAGACGCTGATTCGGTGCAGGAATATGATGGCGGCCGTACAAGTAGCGATATTGTAAACTGGGCACTTGAGAAATTAGCCGAGAATATTCCAGCACCAGAAGTGATACAAATCATATCTGAACAGAGTCTAAAGACTGCTTGTGAAGACAAACCGATCTGCATTGTGTCTGTCTTGCCACACATCCTGGATTGTCAATCTGATTGCAGAAATGGATATTTGAAGACTCTAAATAGTCTCGGAGAGAAATTCAAGAAAAAGATGTGGGGGTGTGTATTTTAAACTCATTAATCTTAATGAATTTACTCTATCATTAATCTCTATAAATTATATAATTATATAACTCGTTAAACTTAAAATATAATTCAGAGTTGAATTTATTTCTTCACATATTTGGATATAATTATGAACCAATTATTTTTGTTGTACTAAATTTGTTTTAGAAATTAAAATTTAAATTATATTAAAAGAAAAGATTTAAATATTAATTATATAATAGATAAATTAATACATAACAATTACTTCTAGTATAATCTCACAGTAAAATCTGACTTTCATCACAACATTTTAACTTTTTCTAAAAAAGTTCTAATAAAAAATTTCCTATACATTATTTAATTTTATCACATTTCATATATAACTTTTACAAAACATTTACAGATGGACATGGGCCGAAGCTGGTACTCAACCGCATGTAGAAGAGGCATTAGAAATCGGAGGTTTCGGTTATCCTGCATTAGCAGCCGTAAACATCAAGAAAATGAAGTATTCCTTATTAAAGGGTAGTTTCTCATATGAGGGAATAAACGAATTCCTACGAGACTTGAGTTACGGCAGAGGTGGCACCGCGCCTTTGAAAGGTGCTCAATTGCCTGTTATACTTAAAACGACACCTTGGGATGGCAAAGATGCTGAACCTCCACAAGAAGAAGAGATCGATCTTAGCGACGTTGATCTAGACGAGAAAGATGAGCTATAATTTACAGAAAGCCAAATTTTTTTAAAAGAATTTATCACATACAAAGAACATTGTCTCTAATCAAGCTGATATTAAGAATGTTAAGTGCAGATTGATAGAAATTTTGCACAGAAATTTACTTTATATTACTGTAGACTTAATATATATACTTATAATATTCTACCTTGATTAATGACGATTTCTTAGTGAAATATGATAAAAAAACAATTCCTTTATTTGCTAATTTTTGTACAAAGATTTAACATCAGTATATGAGTCTCTTCTAAGGAAGATCAATTCTCAGGTGCAATTAACCAGTTTTGTAAAAAAGTGTTTAAATAATTCTTCCAAAACCAATTTTATAGACTTTATTGTATCACTTTAAGAAAATTAAATTAGCTTAAGTTTAGTATAAATATATGATGTAAATTTGCATATTATTTTTACTGTTCCCTTCGATACAATGCATTTGGGAAAAGATAAGTCATTTAAAAATTGTACTACATGTATCATGATGCATTTATGAGCCTACTTACTATTTATTAACAAAGTAGGTTATTTAAAACACATACAAAGTTTATGTAAAGTCATATAGTTTCTTATTTGTAATAAATATACATCATACATTTTTATGTATATTATTTCTACAAAATCTTTTACAAGTATTATAACCTTAATATATAATATTGTAGTTGAAAACTTCCAATTTATAAGATTATTAATTAATTCTCCTTGTGACGGGACCAAACTCAAAAATTACAAAAATCAGTCATTATAATGTATGAGACTGTACTGTCTGTTAACTTATTAACTATCTAATTAAATGAATACTCTGTAGTCTTCCATTACAAGCAAAATGGACGTATGTTGTATATCAGTTGTACAATTAATACTTATTTGCACATATGTAAATGCAATTGTGTCATTTTTAATATATGTGTCATCTTTAGTATGCATGTTACATGTGGCATCATATGTGCATGTATATGTTTTGTGTGTGTGTATGTGTATGTGTGTGTTTTATATTTTTATTTGTGTAATCCAGTCTGTTCTTGCAACTACATATAAATTGCAATAAAAAAATTATTTTTACACTAATCATTGTACATGCTTATAAAACTTACAAAAATTAGTTTACGGTTTGCTTATAAAACTTACAAAAATTAGTTTATCCTATTATTTTGTGTAAAAACAGTATAAAAACGATAAAAATCTCAATCTTCAATATCCTATTCTAAAAGATTTCAAACTATTAAGTTTATATAAAACTTCATTGCTACTAAAAATTTGTATAAAAATACTGATGTCCTAAGAGAATATATATCACTGATATATGTATAAAATAAACAAGATAACCCTTTTCCAGTCTTTTTTCTATCGATTTAGCGATACGTCGTTTGATATATCATTTGAACTACGATATAATGGCATATTGTTAGCATTATCGCTAACAGTACATACAGAATTAACTTCTGTTAACTCTATGATATCGTAAGTTTGATCCTTTTTACATATGAATGGATATAACATAAACACATAGTACGTTATTGTACTAAACACAATTATACTTAAAATTATTGCAATTATTCCCCAAGCTGAAATACCTAGTTTTTGCACAGGAAGCGGATTTGATATATTCTTAGATGCTGCAGTTCCTGCTGACTTCTGATTCTTGAAAGGTTTGGCCAAAAAACTATCATAATTCTGACCTTTTGTCTGATAATTTTGCCTCGAGCCCTGCGAGCGCACTCCGTTTTCAGCTATAGGTTTGTAACAAATATATTTTAAGTTATATCAAATATTTAAAAAATATTTGTTAAAAATAAAATATAATACTTCTATGACAAGAAATCTAATCATTACAGATAACATAATCATTATAAACATATTAAAATTAAAACAAATTCAAAATTTCTAAAAAAATGTATTTCTACTAAAAAAATTATTTAAATACTTAACACTTACCAACAACCAGAACAAAAACAAGAATAAATATTGCCTTCATTGTATTTGGATTTATCTATTTAAAATCGATTTTATGAATAACGTAAATCAAGTGTTATTTATTAATTTATCGGTAGATAAACTACCCGTACTAGTGCAAGTATACACTGAAGCGTCGCTAACAGAAGTGACGTTAGATATTGCTGTTCTATAACAGTGATGCAAACCAGTGTCGCCAGACAATATTAGGTCTGTTCTTTATAGCTGAACTGGCTGCACTAGTTCAGAGTTTATCTTTTTCCCTCCATATTGGAAGGAGAAAGATAAACTCTGAACTAGTGCAGCCAGTTCAACTATAAAGAACAGACCTATTCTGGGCCCTATATGCATAAACGGAGAACCTCGTCCGTGTGCACTCGGCTTTCGGTTTGTAGAAGCAAGCGGACATATGTTTTGCGTTTCCTTTCCACCTAGCACCAAACCGGTTTTATGAGGTTACGTTGCGCGCGTCTTGATAGCGAAAAATGTTTCTCTGAGTTTCGCTCCACGCGACTAAATGACTAGCGGCGTGTTGCTTTCGTTCTGCGCAAAATCATATAAAGCATAATTCCAAATATTATTATATATAAAAATAATATAAATAAAAAATACATAATTTAATGGCCCTAAAAACAAGGCAGACATAAGACAGAGACATCCCTGTTCAATATAGCTCTTTCGCTTCCACAGTGGCTCATCCTTACTCCAAATGTTCTATAGCTCATTGGTAGAAAACAGCTGATTTAATAAATATGGCGACGTTGGGAGGACGTGTGTCGGCTATTTGCGGTGTTTTGCCGAATAATATAAATTTATTTGGATATGGCGTAAGTAAGCAAAAATTTCTTTATATAATTTGTTAATATTTTACAATGTTGTATTTTATAATGTTTATGTAATATAATTATATATTATAAATATACAATTATTATATATAATTATATAATTATATTTATTCTTTATATTTGATTACACGATGCAGCTGCAACAGGTACGAAACTTTATTGGCTGCAGAGTATATCGTGACAGGAAGCGTAGAAGATGGGCAAAACAGTATGCTGAAGAACGATTGCGATTGCTTGCCTTGAAGCGAAATAATATTTTACCAATTGAAATAAGAGTAAGTGATATAATTTCACTGTATAGAAGTAATAATTTTAATTATGTAAATTTTTCATATATGACATTAATGTAGTACTTGTCATAGATGCATGAATCTAAAAAAATATAATGGTTTTTCTAGGAACTTGCAAGCAAGCAAATGACTGAAACAATTCCCAGACAGACTGCTATGTTTCAATTGACGTCAAGATGTGTAATAACAGGTCGAGGCCGTGGTACAGTGGAACGGTGGAGAATATCAAGATTCATCTTCCGTGATTTAGTGGATTATAATAAAATGGCTGGGGTACAACGTGCTATCTGGTAAAATAATATAGCATGTACATTTCAAGATGTGTAACTATTAGTGAAATATAAATAATAAGTGGATGGATATGAACAGAATTATAAGAAATAAAAGAAAGTTATAGTATTAAATTTCTGTTTTTGACTATGTTATCACTATCTATTATTCTTATTTTTTTTTAATTTATTTTTTTATGTGTGCTAAAAAAATTCGAAAAAAAGTTAAAAGGTAAAAGAGATTAAAATGGATCTAAGAAATGAGTGTCACACTGATTACAGTCTTCAAAAAGACATCTTTTATTAGATTTAAAAATCCAAGAGCTTTTATTAGATGTTGATATATTGTAAATGTGAAAGACATTAGATGCAATCTAATAAATTTTGTGATAATGAGGAGTAATTTCTTTCCTTTGTAAATGCATTGGAAGCTTTTATATGGTATTGTAATGTGTGTAAAGTCCATATCAGATTAGACATCAGTGAAGAAATTCGTCAGTCAAATATAACATGCAACTGCTTGATTGGTCGAATCCCAATACCTAACTTTAACTGTAACCTCAAGCCTGCAACGCCTGCAACTCGTATTGTAATACGGACTTAACGTTTTAATTTTAACCTATTTACTGTTAATCGTACTTTTCAAGTAAAATTTTTATAAAACAAAGATATCATGATTAAGTAATGTTTGTATAAGTGAAGGCTGCGTAATGCAGTAATCTGCATTAATAAAAGCAATGCATTTAGCATTGCATATAGTGTCGCAACTGTGTATTTTACATCAATTGAAAATGATGGATGCCGTTTCCGTGCACTATCGCGCAATAAATTTATAGAATGGCAATGAAAGAGAATAGGATCGAGTTTGTCACGGATCCTTGCCCTATCAAATCTCGTAAAATTGACCCACAAAATGTAGTCGTACGTCTTAGACGTAGGGAAACGATGGGCTGTCCTTTTCCAGGCACACATGTACATAGTGCAAGACAATTCTATCAAAACGTATTTCCTAACTTTACTGTGATGAATGTGGAGAAACCACCGTGTTTTCTCCGCAAATTTAGTCCGGATGGAAAGTACTTAATAGCGTTCAGTGCAGATCAAACATCTATCGAAGTATATGAATATTGTGGAGCTTCAGCCGCTGCGGATTTGTTAGCTGATTGTGAAGGCGAATATATCGGACATAAGAACGATGATTGCAATTTTCACATACGAAGTAATATCTTCTCACGATTTTTCAAGGTACTAAATACTAACAAACTCTGGCGTACCAAATTGGTGTACCAGCTTTGAAACATATTTGTAGGTAAAATGGATTATAAATGTCGTACAAAGCAACCAGCAATTGAACAGAGAATGCAGTCTTTTCACAGACGATGCTCGGTATGTGATTGTAGGCTCAGCTGCTCATATTCCTGATGAATTAAGGCCACACTTTTATCAGGTATTAAAAAATTATTGATCACTTGTTTGTAATTACTATTTTGTCTAAAAGTTTGATAAAATATCTTGTTTCTTTAAGATTTATTCCAATAATGAAGCATTAACGCCGAATCCTAGATCTCCGCTTGAGGATTATAGCTTACATCTTGTCGATTTACGAGGAGGAAAATTATGTGATACTAGACATTTTAAAGTGGACAAAATTTATTTATCACATAATCAAGGTCAATATATCAATATATTCTTTGCAGTTGTATTGTTACTTACCAAGTTGAATCAAGCATTCAATAAGTTTGTTTTATTTAAATAAAAGAGAGCAATTTCTCTTTCTCTTTTTATAGTGGAAAAAATTTTTTAATCTAAATAGATTAGAAGATTTTATTGTATCAATGATTTGTTAAGTGATTACAAGTTTTTATATCAAATTCTTAAAATAGATCTTGTTTTTTTTATACAGGTCTTTATTTATACAAAGATATATTAGCCGTTTTATCTGTACAGCATCAAACTATACATATTTTTCAAATTCTTGATGGCATGTTTATAAATGTGCGGACAATAGGAAGGTATTAAATATATAATATTTAACAAATGTAATTATTAATTCGTTAGAAATCACAAATGCAAACAATGTTACTTAGATAATAACAATTCTATGTATTAGGTTTTGTATGGAAGATGACGCGTATTTAGTTACAAGTGCTTTTCCTGGGATTAATTCCAGACCCTTTAAAGACATTGCAATAAATAGCCTAAAACATAGATTGTTAGTATATTTATATAAAAGAGCGGAATACATAAGTGAAGTGACAACGGATCCATATGAATTAAGAAGATTTTACCAATATTTTGACCAGGTATTTAAATACTTGTACTGTTTCTTGTCTGGAAATATTCTTACTAAGCAGCTAATTAAATAAAATGCTTCAGCTAAGCTCGCTGCGAATGTGGAAGATGCAATTACTAGATACAAATCATATTCTGGTGAGATATGCAAGTGAAGAAGTAGCAACTTTGCAAGCAAACGAACCAAACGCTCAGCCAGCATTATTAGTAGTTTACAATATGGTTACAGCCAAAATTTTAGCTGCATACGATAATGCATCGACTCAATTGTTAACCCACTTTGAAAATTTTAGCGATTTTTTCAGAAATGCCAGAATGAGTACAGATTGTCAATATATGTGTTCACCATCCAACAATATTTATGCCAGGTATATTAATGCAGATATGTACATATATACGCGCACACACGCGCGCGCGCGTGTGTGTGTGTGTGTACCATTCATGTGTTGGATGTCAAACAATGTTGATCTAAAAATGCTCTTTTCTAGATTGCAGCAACAAAGATTCAAACAAACAATAATAAGCGCTAGATACGGAGGCATTACTGAAGCAACGAAAAGATTACTCGCTCAATTACCCATATGCGCTCAATCTTATTCTAGTTCTCCGTATCTCGATTTATCATTATTTTGTTATGATGATAAATGGGTGTCTATGATGGAACGCCCGAAAGCATGCGGAGAACATCCAATACGGTTTGTACAAATTTGTGCAATTTATTTATACGAAAGATAATTATCAAATAATTGTTATAAAATTTATCATTTTTCTTTTATTTTTACAGATTTTACGCACGCGACTCCGGTCTGTTAAAATTTAAAATGTATGCTGGCATGTCAGGACGAACAATACCAACGGCTGCAAGACGATTGGTCGCTTTCACTTTCCATCCGACAGATCCATTCGCGATTTCGGTACAACGTACTAATGCAGAATATATTGTTAGTTTTCATGTTAGATGCGTGTAACCTTGTTTCCAACACATATCTTGATAATGTACAATTAGATTTTTTACATTTGACAAAAATTGTTGAGATTGCTGCCGTTAAAGTACAAAACAAACCTTGTATTTTGTATAATAATACGTTAAGAGCTGAATCAGATTTAAAGACTCATTAACTATTAGCATATAAGGCATAATGTAATGTAATTTAATGTAGTTTTAATACTTGAAAATCGAGAATAATTTTAAAATTAAGGCCCCGCGCACGATAAAGAAAATATTAGGAAGAGCAATTTGAAATTATTTTGCTTTAAACAAGGGATTAAAATGGATGAATTTTTCCTAATTTATGATGCATTAAATGAAATGATTACAATTTCCTATTCCTAATACTTTATTATGCGTTAGGCCTAATAAAAAATGAGAAATGTTTTGTAAAATATGTAATATTATTTTTATAATCATATCGAATTGTCGCCCATAAAGTGCATTACTGTGGATACCTTGTATAGCAGAAAGATGTGTCATACAATTAAACATCTCTTCTTGAAACAAAGTAATTTTTGTGTTTAAAATATTTTTTTCAAAAAAACTACCTTTTCAAAATATTATATGTCAAAAATAAAATAAAATAAATGTACAAATCCTTGAACATGCTTTGTACCTTAATAAACAAGAATGTATCAGTTTTACGTAATAACAAAAACTATTTGCACAAAAAAATTGTTATTAACTTCTCTTTCTCTAATAATTCATACTTTGACTATTAAAGATAATATTGTATTAGAGAATAACATAAATAAAACTATGTCATGTAAATATTTATTGAATAATCTTTTAATTAATTGAACATTACAAATAGAATGGAAAATTTCAAATAAATACCAAAAATGGCAAATAAAATCGAAGATCATTAATAAACAATAGAAATTACCAGTATTTGAATAATTTATTTCCATTTAAATTGAATTCGCAAATTTCTTTTTGATTGAAACAGAGAGAAGCCTGAAAGGGGCCATGCCATTGTTTTTTCGTACGACGCTTTCTCTAGGCCAGCGCTCGGAATTAGTTGCACATTTCGGGCCGATTCCCGAGACGACGCCTCCTGTTCCCCCACTACCGCTCGGCCGCTGGCGGCCGAGCCGCCGATAGCTCTGGCGCAGGAGCGTTTTATATAAGAAATAGGCTGGGTTGTTGAGGCACCTCTCAGAAAATAGTAATATTTTCTTTGCTACATAAATAATGTTTATTTTCATTAATAATTAAATATATATATATTATGTATTAATAAAAATAAACATTATTTATGTAGTGAAGAAAATGTTACGATTTCCCGAAA